TGTGGGTATATATTAGTAGCCGTCAAGAGGAATGACTCTGGAGCTGACGACTCACAATTTGAATAGCGTAAGAACACTGCTAGGGGGGGCATTAGACGGTATTTGGAAACCCCATTCAAATTCACTCTCGGTCAAGTATCTCAGCTGTGTTGGAACCTTGTCTGAGGAACGTCCTCCATCGTTGGCTCTATCAGTTGGCCAGTTCGTGAGAACCACAATCTTCTTGGGGTCATCAATATGCGCATAACTAATTCCTGAGAATGTAGTGCCGAAGTCAATCCCAACTACGATTCTGCGTCCAGCCATGGGCTGTGTGTTCGAAGTTTCCATGGTGGCCGAAGATTGGAGAGAACAAGGTGTGTATGGCAATCAATGAAGGGCTCTCTTTTGTGTTTCTTGATGAGTAGGAACAGGTGCGATTCACCTGCTCATACTGGATAGCAAGCAGACTTATACTTGATGCGTACTGAAAGAATCAATACTTCACCTAGTTTACCTGTGCAGTTTGTTTCGGGTAGTCAAATCATCGCTTCCTGCAAATAGACAAAGAGGATTTCGTGAATTGGAATCCAGGAGACATAGGACTGAGCAGTTTCTGTCAACATGAAACGACTGGAACATGCTGGATAAAGACATCACATACAACATGGTTCACATTGTCTACCATCTGTTTCTAGGTTTTAAGACCCGGTACAGATTTCATGGCATGTTTCTCCCATCTTGAGTAAAAGACTCAAACGGCTAAACCGTGCCTTGGAGATTGACCTTAATAGCATCTCGTAGAATGTTCTTTGGCGTGGTGATCAGGTGCTTGTCAAACGCATGTACACATAGTCCTATCTCCTTACTCTTATAATAATACTACATTGAAGAGCAAAAATTTAGGTACAAGCTCAAGTTGTAGCACGATTTCTTATGTAGACCATGTTATGTACACCATGAGAGATTTCATGATCTTCCTGTCCAGGATCCTATTCCGCAAAATGGGTGGGAGTTCTGTTGTCAACAAGAAGGAGTCGATCGATAAAAATGAGCTTGATCGGCTTCGCCAATCGGACGCCAAACTTCATGAAGTACAAGCAGAGCTTCAGGCCCTTAGGCTTCAGAATCTTCATACTCAGCAGAACCCCAAAGAACGTCTCGATCCCCATCCACCAGTTTACCGCGAGATCCTGCTTGAACTTCAAAAACACGAACAGCTCATTCAACAGATAGTATCTTGCTTCGACCTTCGAAATGACAAGCTACTTGGGCGTGCTGTATCAGCCAAGAAGAGAAACAATCAATCACAAGACCAGGAAAAAGCTCAATTGGCACGCAGCCAGAAACTGGAATCGGATATCTCCCTCCTACGCCAGAAGATTGGGAAGCTGGAAACAGATGTTCACGATAGAGAAGAACAAATCTTCAGTCTACTACCTCATCGCACAGAGCTCACCGATGACGCTGCGATTAATGTAAGTATAACCTAACTCTTCTATGACACTGGACTGCTCAATGCTAGTTGGCTCATATTTTTACAGGAGTATCAAACTCTGGCAACCTCTATTGTCAGATGGGTTGAATACTGGACCGACCCAATCTTGGACCAAGCGCAATTGTATCATGAATCTGTCAGACAAGTCAGACAGGATCCTGCAGCTGCCAAGGACTTCAAGAAATTTATTCGGAATTGCGATGGCCTTACAATGGGCATTGAGTGGCCTGATAACGAGCAGGAAATTCTTTCCGCTTCCATTCATGGGTTTGTCACTAAGCACATCTTCTCAACTACGATGTGCGATACGTGGCCTATGATGCAGGAGGTCCTTGATACTCTCCAAGATGCTATGGAAAATCATTCTGAAGAAAAGCCAGGTGAGTCTTCACATCTTTATACTAGTGCATCGCAGTAGTAGCTAAGCCGTTTTATCCTAGGCACGTTTGCCGTCCAGTCATGGCGAGCACTGGCGCACCAAGCTTGGGTCTCACATCCTGATGCTCAACAAAGTATTGAAAATAGATTACAGTCCCTATCCCAAGACATGGCTTCTGCGTTGAGGTTGATCTGCCTGAATCCGGGTAGTCACGAGAAGTTCAGACAAACGATCTTGGATGAGATTCTGTGGCCATCCCTTCACCTCCACGAAAAGATGATTACATCAACCAACCGGTATATTGTCAATGCCAACCCCATCATCAGCCCTAGAAAGGAAGATACTCCTGGCGCGGAGCTCGCGACTTTTCTGGAGGGTTTGGAATGCGTGGATGTCGCGGGCAAGAACCGCAAGTTCGTGTTGAAGAAGTTGAACCCAAGGCCCAGCGCGCAGCACTTGAGCCAGGACCTGACCATGATCTGCTCAACGCGGCCAGCCCTGCAGGTGATGAAGTTCAACAGAGATCGGGGTTCCAGTGAGCTAGTCACTATCTGCAAGGAAAGGGTCCTAGTGGCTTGGATGACTGACGAGAAACGTCGAAATCTTGAGCTGGCGAGACCACAGTCTACTTGGCTGGGCGATATTTTCAGTCAACGAGAAATAGCCTTTGGTGACATGGGTTTAAATTCGTTATCGGCTGTACCAAGGATTACTTAGGTTGCTCAGCCATGTGGAGAGTGTTCATGTAATTCGGCTGGAGCCGTTCCCTGTCGGCGGGATTTACAAGCAACTCAGTCAATGTCACCATCTCGAGTTCCAGGTGTCAAGGTCTACGGACGCTATGAAAGCGGTATCATTGGAGCGTTCCCTAAACGCTACCGGTCAATCTGCATGGTACATAGTCTAGGTAGTGTGAGCGATGGTGGAATTTCAACTAGATTCGATACCTATCCCTATTCTCCCATTCACCTTCCGAATAATATTGGAAGCAATGAGAAGCCTGGAGTCATAATTTATTGTTTCTTTCCATACATCACACTCGAGATTGTCTTGGCCTGCAGCACGTGAGACGAACTGGTACCGCCCGCAATATTCTCTTTGTAACCATCTAGAGGTATATAAGACACATCCCTTCCGGGTCCAACTCCTCCTGTCTTAACTTGGGTGAACAATAGCAACCATCTTAAAATATTTGTCTTTTTCTAAGCCGTGGCGAGCCCCTTGACCCTGACCGCTTCATACTTATCCTCCTGAATCCATACGCTATGTCAAGTTTCAACGTGAAGAGCTGCGGTATGTGCTTTGAAGCACTAAATCCTTCGAGCTTCCCTTTGAAAGGCACCACGGTTGACTGTGCCCACCAACCATCCACATGCCTCGATTGTCTCTCTGCGTATATCACAAATCAAGTTGAGATGGGCCTCATAGATCAGCTTACCTGTCCAGAATGCGACGAGCGACTCGGCTATGATGAGATGCAGAACTTCGCAACAGACAGTACACTCGCGCGGTCAGTACTATATCATTATTACAAGTCTGGAAAACCGGCGACGGCTCTCTGACGATCTGATCCGTTACTAGGTACAAGGCTTACACTGTCGAACGTGTTGTTTCACGCGCGCCTAACTTTGTATGGTGTCCCCTTGGCTGCGGCAAGGGGCAAATCCACCCTGCCGGTGACAAACACCCCAGAGTATTCTGCCTCCGGTGTGAACAACAATTCTGCATGTACCACAAAATTCCCTGGCATATGAGTTTCACGTGCGAAGAATATGACGAATACCTGAAGGATCCAGACAACTACCGCAGCAAGGCCGAGATTCGCGATGCGGCGGTCAATGCCAGGGATTTTGAGCTGGAGATGCTCAGGCTCAGATACCAGGATGCTGAAGACTATTTCAAGTTAAATTTGCAGATGGCAGGAGAGGAAGCAAGAGTTATTCGTCGAGCTACCGAGGAACGCATCGAGCAAGAACGATTAGCGCGGGAGGAAGCCGAGAAACAGAGGGCTGCTCTTGAGAAGCACAGAGCGCAGAGGAGGAAAGAAGAAGAGCTGACTGCCCGGGACCTCCCGGGTATGGCGCGTGCCTGTCCCAATTGCTTCGCCCCGATTATAAAGAATGGCGGTTGGTAAGTAGTCTCGGCCAAGATTCAATCAGTAGTGTAGGGTCATCGGCTAACCAAAGGGAACATCACCCAGTGACCATATGTACTGTAAGTTTCCTCTTTTCGGCACCGATCTGCTGGCAACCGGCAATAACGGCTCTACTGACACGATGAAATGTAGGCACTCACTGTGGCTCCAACTTCAATTGGAGTCATGCTGCATCCGCAGCAGTAAGGCCGGATCACTGACACCCTATACCTACCTAATGTCATAAATAGGAGAACGAACATGAGAGTCAACGACGGGTCTTCTAGTACTTCAAACATATCAACATTTTGCATCCAGTCGATATAACCTTGTAGTTTGAGATATCTCAAGGAGTTTACGTGTCATGACAATTCCCAGAGTCAATAATATGGTTTCTTGCATACCAAATGTTTGTCTGGGAATAATTTTGAGCACATAAGCACTCCTTTGAAGCCAGATTCTGATGCTGAGTCTTTTACAAGGGTTAGTTATCTATTGTTTTCGGGTACACGACACCAATACCGGATCTCCCTTGGGTTAACAAGACTGACAAACATCCACCAAAAATACATCCCTCGCACAGCACTTGTGTGATTTTCAAAATATCGGTTCTACCTTACAATGAGGATTCGGCAAAATGTATTCAGCATGTATCATCACGTAAATTGATACACATAGCGGACTCTTTAACCGGACATGGGTGAGACCATGTACATCTCTTGCAAAGAGCGGTCTCAATAGAACTGAGCACATCCTCTGCCCACGATTCGGCGGTTGATATCCCAGACCCAAGACAGGCAGAAAAAACCAGTCACAATCGTCTCAGAGCATCTCACTGCCTTATTTTTGCCCTTCATATTTCTCCATGTAGCCAATATCGCACACACGTTTTCAAGAAGCTATAAAAGGTCGCTTACCACGACGGGTCTCAGGGCTCCTGACCCAGCACTACCAGGGAGGGTGAAAAAAAATTGGCAAAAAGATCAAAGTAGCAGCAAGAAGTAAAACGTTGGACTCGCGGGGAATTGAACCCCGGACCTCTCCCAAGCAATTGATCTTATTGATTGACCAGCCATGCTAAGGGAGAATCATACCACTAGACCACAAGCCCAATTGATGGATGATTGTCTGCAAAATACTGTGGTCTATAACCTTTTCTTTTCCCAAGATCCACTGCGTGAGGGTATCGTGTGTGGACCACTGACAGAGGAGATCGTGTGCATCGCTAAGCTAATTACAATCTGAATCAATTTGGTAATAATTGCAAAATTTTCATGACTCGCAGGCTCTAGCGGTGGGGGGGTTGGTGGTTGGTTCTCTTCTCCACCACCGTAGATGGGGGCAGGGGGGCTTTTCGATGGAACGCACGCCGGCCGGTGAAGATTTTATCAGCGATCTGGCGCGGCTGCAGATTTGACTAATAGATTATAACTAGGTAGCTAGGTAGTTGATGACTCTTGGTAAAGCGGTTCATGAGAGCAAAGCTAATGTATCCAGCTCATCCCCGGTCCCGTTCGGGGGCACCGGGCACCCTGAGCGTTGGTAAAAGAGACGGTGGGTGTCGGGAATAGCTCACATCGCAATTGCCCCCGGCGTCAAGGTCACGTACGGCACCGATAACCTGGAGACTCCAAGTTTCTTCCTAGACTTGACGGGACGGTCCGCAAAGCCGGTCATGGTATTTGGCACCATGCGCCCGGAAGGCTAACTACGACCATCATCATTGACGGGCCGGGCCGACCGCATCAGCAGCACGAACTGCACGGTCCCAAGACGCATGGCAGCTACGGTCCGCGACGCTTGTCAGCAAACCATACTTCGACGTCGATGTCTCTGGCGCCGCGAGTTTGCTCCGGGTCGACACACATTCTTCATAGATACCAGAAGTTGGACGCCGGGCTCGTATCCGCAGCGATCGAGACGGGCGCCAGGGGTCTGGAAGCGGGTCGGCGGAGCGATGACGGGTGCCTCAACTCGCGGATGGCACGCATCAAACTGAAAAAAGTTTGGTTTGATGCCCGGATACGGGGACGCGCAGCTGATGATGGAAGCATGGCGATTGAGATCATGGAAAACAGCTACGTAGACGTCACAAGAATCACACCAGTAATATCCTCCAATTCGAACGCCTACTTGAATGCGAGCGATCGTGTGATGGCGAAGAGGACTCAGGGGACTGAGAAATGTGCAGCGCGTTGCTGCATACGCACCGGGTGATCATGATTGTTCCACCGAGACTCACGCCATCCTATGATGGATCTTCGAATTAGCATTACATTATCCAAGGTATCAAACCGCAAACAATCCCAAAGCAATCCAAAGAGCCCAGGCTCCCATCCACGGTATCCTACTCAGATCGGCCCCAGAAGTACCCTCATCCGAGGACCCAGCATCGGAATTCTCCCCACCCGAGCTTCCCTCTGCGCTTTCACTCGGGCCTTCATCATTCGCCTTGATGCTCGCTTGCACCGCAGGCGTGATCTTGTCATCAATGAAATCCCGAGACCTCCAGTCCGACCAGTCGTGATTCAACAGGCCCCTAGATATGGGGGGAGGGGGAAAATATGCCACCAAGTCAGCAAAGATGCTACGTATGTATGATTAAGAAATGCATAACGCGCGTGAAAGAAAACCAAAACCTACCAGGGCTCATCGTAGTCGGCCGTCCCCTCGCGGATATAGTAGCTCCCGCCCAAAGACCAGATCATCCACCCGGCGGCCTGCGCCGGGAGGAAGTCGAGGATGCACGCGACGTAAGGGTCGGACGCGCCCTGGGACTGATCGATGCCGAACTCGGACAGGACGACGGGGAACTGGTTGGTCGCGTCATTACTCTGAGCGTCGAAGCCGGCGTCGAGGAGCCCGTCGCTCACGGCGGCGCAGTCGCTCGGGCCGGCGCCGAAGATGTTGTCGTAGGCGTGCAGCTCGAGGACCAGCTTGGCGCCGTCGGTGAAGTCGTCCCGATTAAAGGCGCCTCCCGGGCCGTCCAGGGCGCTGCTGCCGTTGACGACGGCGCTGAGATCCTTGTCGGAGTCGAGGCCCGACAGGAAGACCAGGACGTCCGGGTTCGCGGCCTGGATGGCGTCGGAGCCCTGGATCACGTGCTCGTACCAGGACGCCCAGTTGTAGGAGCTGCGGGCGAGCGCCGGGTCCGTCAGGGGGATGCGGAGTTCGTTGCGCAGCGACATGGACATGAGGTTAGGCCAGCCCTTTCCCTGTGACGACGAATGTTAGGGGTGGGTGGGTGGACTTTTGCAAATTCAGAAGCCGAAAGGGGAAGGTGTGATTAGAGAGAGAGAGAGAGAGAGAAGGGAGGGAGGGGGGGGGTGTTAGTTACGAACATGCTCGGCCATGAACGAGAGTCCGCGCGTCCAGTTGTCGACGTTGAAGAACTCGTCTCCCCACCAGGAGTTCCCATCGAGAGGGGAACAGCACCAACCGGCTTGGGAGATGTGGTTGTCGAGGTGGACGTATATCTCCTGGGTAGCGCATTCAGCCGCGATTGCGTCGTATACCTGATTCTGTCAGGGGAAAAAAAACTTCTAGGGATGTTGAGATCATATGCATAGGCTTACTTGCAATCTCGTCGTGCTTTGATTGAAGGATGGATTGTGAGTGAATATGTCATCCAGTACCGAAGCAGCGCTGTCGCCCAGGGCATCGGTGAAGGCATCCTGGAGCGTGATATCGGCTTCGCCGTTGTCGTAATACTGGTCCACTAGCTCGGTGGCATACGTCAACCGAATGGTGTTCATCCCCAGACTCTTGGTCTTAGAGACGATATCTGCTATGGACTGGTACTGCAGGCCTTCGGGAACCATGGTATCCAGCGATCCGGGCCAGTTGACGCCGACATAGGTTACATGCGCGCCATCCGCATCCGTGATCCATCGTCCGGACGTCGTGAAAGGACCGTTGGGCCACGCCGCTCTGGGCGCGAGGGATGAGCCGGAAGCTCCGGCAACGGACAAGAAAGCCGTGAGGACCCCAAGAAACCTAAGGGAAGCCATTATTGATGCGCATTGACTCTTCGCTGGTGACACATCAAGTCATCGAAGCTCCCAGGAGATTTTGTCGTGGTGGCATGCATGAGCCGTTTGGATGGCTTGGAGGGGGAACTTTATGGGATCTTGAAGAATAGGGGCTGGAATCCGTCGGATCTCGTCTCGTCTCGACTTGCCAAATTTCTGCTAAATAATGATCGAGAATCGGGGAGGCAAAAATGGGAAGATATCAATGATAGGTAGATGATGGACAGGCATCGGGCGCAATGGCGAAGAGAAAGAAGTTGCCGTCTCGTATTCGAGCGTGGTGTTGGTGCGTGCGAACCGAACCCCGCCAAAAGCCAAGCCGAGCTCAAACACGACGGTTTACGCAGACGCGGTCGGTCGCAGATCACTTCGCCTCACTCTCAAAGACGTAGATCTACTGACAGTTGAAACAGTGCATTTTTCTTTGATTCGTGGGTTCCCTATGACGGCAGCTCGGCGTAGATTGCAGCTCAAGACCATCAAAGTCCACGCGTCGCGTCAGGCTGGCAGGCTGTGTGGAAACAATAGCCGGTTCCCAGGCAGCCAGGCTTGCTGAGGTTCCCGGTAACCATTCTGATATGTTCTGGTATAGTTGGTTATTGCTAGCAAATAATTCACTTTTTTTTTCCGTACCACCAATCCCAAGTCCTTTCTGCGTGAACCCGCACGTGTACTCACCAGGCCCTATGCCGCACGTCTTATGCGCCAAACCGGCGACGATCCCCGACTTCGGCCTCTACGTTTAGGACGCCACCTATCCCTCCGTCTCCTCCCCCCTTCCCGATTGAAATAGGTCGGCGACGCCGAACCACCGGAGCGTCGCCGTGTACCGGTGTCCCGGTCCTGGCGGCGGGGGTGGTTTTATCTTGGCTCTTTCTTCTCTGATAACTAACGAGCTTCGAGATGAGGAGACATGCCCTGTATGCGGAGCTGGTCCACGTATCTAGATGGGTGGTGTCCTTACAATAGGAGCGTCTGTCTCTATGCATTGATCCTTTCTCGTCAATGGGTCATGGCTCTTGTCATTGAATCATATATAGCATAGCTAATTGGAGGCTCGGCTGTGCTATGACCGTCACTTGTCCGCTACGACGAAGGCCTTCGGCGCCACCCTCGTACCATCTATTGTCTCCTGCGACGGTTTCAGACGGAGTTCTTCTTCGCTCCCGATATAGCGGTAGCCATTCGACGAAGACCATACACTATTTGTCTTCGTCGTCCCATCCGCCGTGGTATTTCCGATGCTGTTCAGCTTCAAGCCACTATCCCCATCTGTCGGATCTGGCACCTCATCGTCGTCTCTCACAAATGTCGGCAGGCTGAACAGTCCACGCCCAGCTTTGGCAGCTGCCTTGGCTTTGTCTAGACTGCCGATTGTCTGTGGCATATCGTAGGACGGAGGCTCGCCCACAGGCGTGCTTCCGAAGCCCATTCTCATTGCGACTCTATAGTAGAGCGGTCGAATGGTTGCCAAACTCCCTGCTGTGATAGCCAGCCCTTGCTCTGTCGTTGACCATATGGCGATGTCAAGCGTGGCCCAGAGGAAGTCGGGGTCTTTGAATCTCTCGATATAGGCAAAACGAACCACCACAGCAGCACTCGCCCTGCGAGTGGATCCAGTTAGTTCGTGCGACTGAAGTCACAGAGAACAAGGGGAAGGGGGGGTTACATACACGCAAGCCATGCTCAGAATGGGGATGAGCGCGATCTTCGTCTTCCTATCCATCTGCAGTCCCCAGATCATAAAAATTGGCAGAATAGCGAAGGTGAAGTCGCATATCACGCTAATGGCGCTGTAAAGGTAGGTCAGGGCAGCGATGATGCCGGCGTCCAGACAGGAGCCGTTCGTGTCGCCGCCGGTCTTCGTCCAGAAGAACGAGACGGGGCTGCACTGGAAGATGGTGACGAAGAAGAAGACGAGCCCGGCGACGACGGTGAGCAGCACGACGACGTAGATGATGAGACGGTGGAGTTGCTTCACCGTGAGTCGCAGCAGGAATATACCGATCGATATCTTCGACGCGATCATGGTAATGGCGTAGAAAATGTAACAGAACCACCAATACTGCGCGTTATAGTT